GTTATGGGAAGAAATATTGAAATCATTATGAATGACTAGTGATTTCTGTAACTTTGTGTATATAATTTGGCATTTCTTACTGATGTAGTCCAAAAATAAATACATGATACCATTTCATGTATTTTAAAGGTTTATTTGCAAGACACACAAACAGACACAATTGAAAGTTACAAATGTATTGTGCATGAAACGATTTCAAACGTGGTGCAGATGTGTGTCACGAGTTAATCTGGCTGTAGGCTGTGGCACTTGGCCACAGGTGGCGCTAGTTGACTCTACTCCATTTGAGCGCGCACAAAGTAAACTGCACGCTTTAGTTGTGAAGCGAAAACGCTGAAATCGGAGTAATAACACGTACTACGGGAACGATAACAACGACAAGATTTTCCCGATCGTTTACTCTTGCTGTCCTGTGAACAGCATCGGTGTGGTGTTAATTGTTTGCTGTTTTCGCGATCGCCTCCTGCATGGGAATATCACCAGGTAAACTCGCAACATTTTTAAACATTTAGTTGTTCAATAGCAACAAGACTGACGGAGTGTGTTTGAGGTAACCTCACAAATATCACCAATGAAATATTTCTTCTTCTTCTTTCAAGTTTAAGGGCAGCTTGCATCCAAAATTGTTCCATTACTGCCATCTCCTGGCTTTTAATCTTCCGTCACTCCTGAGTCCTCAGATCCTCTTAAAATATCCCCCACACCACCAGCCTCAACTCTTAATGCAAGGCAGGATGGAGCCATGCTGTCATTTCCTTACATCAAATTCTGACTCCATCATCCGAATGTCACAACAGATATCAAGACTCATCAGATCAGACAATGTTTATCAATTTTCTACTGTTCAACTTTGGTGAGGCTATCTAAATTTAGCCTGAGTTTCTTGTTCTTACCTGACAGCAGTGGTGCCTGGCTCTACATGCTGTGTGTTCAGAGATGCTCTTGGACATACCTCAGTTGTAACGAATAGTTATTTGAGTTACTTTGCCTTCTTATGAACTTAAAGCAGTATGACCTCTGACCTCTGGGATCAACATGCTCACTGGATATTTTCTCTTTTTCACACCAATCTTTGTAAAGCCTAGAGATCATTGTGTAAGAAAAGCCTAGTGGATTAGAACCACTTAAAAACATAAGAGCCAGATAAAAGCAATTTCTAAAACCACGGTAAAAAAACAGCATGATAAAGGAAAACTTGTTTTCCTCTTTTATTACACAAGAAAGAGACACTTGAACAAAATAGAAACAACACTGTTAAAGAAAAAAGAAATACAGTTTTGAGTTTTTCAGAGTCAGACCAACCTGTCTGAATACCATCTGGCACCAACAATCATGTTCAAAGTCATTTAAATAATTTTTCCCCCATTCTAGTGCTCACTTTGAACTTCAGGGACTCTGCCTAAATGCATTGAATTACTGCCACGTGCAGGTGTACTTATTAAAGTGGCTGGGGAGTCTTTCTATAGAGAAAACATCAACTTTCTGTCTAGCTCTTCTTCTACTGTCATAAAAATATTTACTTAAAGCAGCCACTGGGTGGCGCATTTTACTAATATTTAAAACATAAAAGTAACCAAGCAGTAACATAACAGAAATTATAGAAACAATTTTGAAACATTTTTTTGAAATAAATTTGGCTTGCTTTATGACTATTCTGGCAGTGGGAATAAACTTCTACTCTGGATAAATGAATAAATGAATGAAGGTATATGGAACTATGTAGCAAAGGAAAAAAAAACTCTCAATATGTTTTATATTTTAGATTCCTATAAGTAGCCACCCTTTGCTTTGTTGACAGTGCTGCAAACCCTTGGCCTTCTCTCAATGAGCTTCATGATGTAGTCACCTGAAATAGTTTTCACTTC